GATGATCACAGAGCGAGAGACAAGAAAGGCAAGGCTCACCAAGCCATTTATCTCTCTGCCCTTCAGTTAATCCCACTTGTGTTTATCAGCCAGGCTGGCACAATAAACTATCTCACCAAGTATCAATCATTTAAGTATGTGAGTCATGAGGTGTGTAGTACTTGAACAAAAATTAATCTTGCTCAGTCCAAACACTTTGTATTTCAGAAGAATGAATTATGTTGATGCTGAAACACCGTTAAAGGGCTTTTCCAAAATAAACATGGGGGCCTAGACAGAATAGCGTAGACAACATCTTGTGCCTGATCTCAGTAGGTATAGGCTGCCTACAAAGACTGTAGCGAATTCTGCTGATTTACATGTTCTTTGTAAAGGAAGAAACAGAGCTAAGGGAACCAAGAAAGCACTGAGCTGCTCTGCCTGGTGCAGAGTGCAAACTGGGGCCTGGGACTCTTCATAACCCTCTGTTCTGTCCAGGCTTCCCTTGTCCCTCCCAGCTCCTATGTGCTAAACTCTGCTCTTAGAGCCAACTTGACACTGAGCAATTCTGGGTGTGTCTGTTCTAAAAGACTGGAAAGAGAAAAGGTCACTGAGTTGGAATTGAGTTGGGGGCCATGCATTTCTTAGTCTGGTTGGACCCTTGGAGCAACTGAGGAAGAAGGAGAGTCAAGAATAGGAGGAGGGTTTGGAATGAATGACTAATTGCCTCCATGAGCGTCTGCCTCCTGTGCCATGAGACTAGAAGAACTGGGGGGTGGCTGGCTACCATTACTGAATATTTTGATCAGAGAGTCCATAGACGAATTCTGATCAAATGTATGTGTGTATGGTGGTGGTGGGGCAATAGAACAGAATGCCAGAGTCTCATGGACTTGAGACGTTCCTTGTAGAGTGAGCAAACCCCTGAAATGATTGCCCTGAGATCATCTTTAAACCTTAAACTGCAAATGTCCCCTGAAGTAGTCTTACAACCAAACAATAGTTCAGCCTAACTAAGAAAGAATGTCTACTTTGAGCAGTATGCTGTTTTGAAGAATTGTCTCTAGGCGATCAAATTGACGGTACTACTCCAAAGTCATACAGGAAACTTAGGGCACAGTGAGTTTATGTTATAGGGGAGGGACAACTCAGGCCTGGGCGAGTATGCCCATCCAACTTGAAAGATGTGATCATGTAGGCGCTGTTAAATTGGTGTATGTTTTGATGTGGATATTCTTGACGGCAATATAAAATTTAAAAGGGAGACAGACTCTGGGATGATCTAGAAGAATCTTGGCCATGCTTAGCATGCTGAGCATTGAGGACATCTAGAATAGCCCCTCCCCACAATGTGCCCTGTGGCCTCCTGAGACTTCACTGAAACGTGAAAAGCAGCCTGAGATTTCTGTTGAGACTCGAGTCTGAAGTGCATTGTGCCACAGGCAGCCTGTGCCAGAAGGTCCTTTGAAGCTCCCTTTAGGACATTGCTGTAAGAGGTGACTCTTCTCCTTGCCCAGGCTGACTGAGCTGAATGACCACCACATTTCTGAAAGAACTCCAGGGACTGTGAAAATTCGGCTCTTAACCCTCCGTGCCTGATAGCATCGTGTGTTCCTATTGTGGACCTGTGGGACTTAGCTATTTCCTGCCTGTCTTTACCTCCATGTTTAAAAGCCCCTGGGTGTAGCCACACTGGCAGATACTTCCTGAAGCTCCAGAAGAAGAAAAAGGCTGTCAGTGGAGGGGTGGGACCGGCAGCAAGGATGAATCAAAGAAGTCACTACTTGGCCTATCAGCCCCAAGGTTTCTGAATTTCCAGAACAAAGATCCCTTCTTCTGTGCGAGGAAAGAGGAAGCAATCTATTTATACTTTTAGCTGGTTCCTAAGTTCAATGTAACTCAAGTACATTGTTGCGCTCTCAACATTGTGTCCTCAGAGCAATGACTTATTGCTTATGAATCAATCAACACCTTGGTCTGCTGAGCCTGAGCTCCCCCTCGAGCAGCTCTGGAGGTCAAAGCTGTTGCTCCTGGATTTCTCTCAAGGTGTGTTTGTTTAGAGGGGCTCAGCTTTTTTCCAAAGAGTTTTCAAATTGAGAGCTGATTTGTCTGTTCAGTTTCGGAAGCAAAGTCTTCTGAACCATGAAAGGTAACAAACCTGGTAGGTTGGTCCCCCACACAAACACACACAAATAGTTTTATTGACACATAATCCACATAACATACAATTCAGTAGTTCAGTCATATCAAGAAGAGTTGTAGAATCACTCTAAAACTCCAAATTCAATGCCATTGAGTTGATGCCAACTCATAGCAATCCTATAAGATCTAAAATTAATTTTAGATCATTTTCTTCATTATTTGGCTTTCATTGGCTCCCCATACCACCAAGAAACCAAAGTTACTCTCTCTGTAGATTATCTATCCTGGATTTCATATACAGAAAAACATACAAAATAAAAAACACTATAACAATAACAAAACAGAGCAGAAAATATTAAAAACTAGAGCAAATTTAAAATGGGTCGAAAGGGAAAGCCAGTGATAAGGTGTTAAACGTTAATTTCACAGCATCTGCCATACTCTTCCAATGCACTCTACAGGATAGCAATCCCTGTGGTCAGAGGGAATTCACTGGAGGCTTAATCCATGTGTACTTCCCCATCTTTTTTTTTGAATGGGTCAAAAAGGAGTTCAGATGATAAGATGTTAAACGTTCTAACCTAACTAAATCTGCCACAATTGACTTTTCAATGATCTCTCCTTGATAACAAGATTATTCATATCCCTTGACTATGGCCAGGTGGGATTCCCTGCAAATGGATTTTGGGCTTTCACTGTTACCCATTTCCTTCTGCAAACTGATTTCACAAGTTAAGCTCTGATAATACCATTCTTTTCTTTGGATTTGGATGATCTTATTTATAGTCCTTGGGTCAAACAGGTTGATGTGCTTCTTCCATGTAGACTTAGTTGATGCAGATTGTACCCTATTTTTGAGTAGAGAGAGCCTAATTTAAGGAAAAATGTTTTTGCTTTCCATTCCCATAGATAGACCCTGAAAGAAGCTGACAAGAGTGTCTACAGCAAGGGATTATTTGGCCTAAAATGTCAATGGTGCCGAAGTTAAACCCACAATAACCACCTATAGTCCATCTTATTTTTGGTACATGTCTAAGTTGCAGACTCAGGGACACTTGCTCTTAATGTTTTAGCATCCTTATGTAAACATAGGTAATTAGTAATTTTACTATTATTCTTTTTTAAATCATAGTTTTAACAGTATTAAATATCTGATAATCTTTAACACTATTACCTTATTTACTAGTTTAAAAAATAACTATTAAGAATGGTTCTTTGACATCTGTGGTACTATAGGCAGTATTTTCCTTTTTCATTCTTCGATGCTTAATTGGACCATCAGACACACATCCTTGCTGAGTTTCAGTGTAGTCGTGCTTCGAAAAAGCCCAGCAGCACTTGCTCATCTTGGAAATCTAAGCATATTTCAGGCCATGTTTTAAAAGTCCAAGTCCTAAGGAGACTCTAAAGATCCGAGCCTTTTAAATTTTACTGGTAAATGATCTCTTTCCCCCTGAAACCCAAGCTGTCCTTTTCACACTCTCTGTTTGAGAGAGAGGAGTTCCGCTTCTATCATGTCACCTGATAAGTCACAGGCACTTCTTGGTTGTTATTCATAGACATTTGGAAACCTTTATTTTATTTTTTGTGGTTATGCAGGTGTTGTTTGTGGCAGTTAACTGTTGGTGGAACCAGGGGAAATGCAGAAAACAGAAACACTTCTTTTATTTTCCTGTAATATATCTGTATCATCGGAGGTAAGAACTTTTTAAGTAATGTTCCTAATTCCAATCACTTTCATTAATTTAAAAATGAATTTTTTTCTGTTAAAAAGTGTTAGCACTTTGAAATTGAGAAAAAAATAGTGATAAGCCAAAAAGAAGGAAAGCAAAACTTAATTTTATTAGGTGTACATAATCAGTACATCAACCCCTCACTTACTGTCTTGCCACCTGACTTCACATTTATGGCAATAGTAAACAAAAAAATACCCGTGTGACTATTTTGCATATTAACAATATATGGCTAATAGTAACAAATGCCAAGGTTTGAGGCAAGAGCAATGTCGGCTGTACTGGTTAGGGTTCTGGATCCCCTTGGGTGGGCAGGGATTCTCAGTGGTTTAGCAGTTATTTGTTGTGTAGTTTGGCACATAGGTAATATGATTCGTAGTGATGTAATGATGTAGTCATCCATTTTGTGATCCAGTGTGGACGTCTTCTGTTTTCAAATAATGATGACCTGGTTGTAAGTTAACTATAACATAGGCATGGTATAGTTTAATTAACTTAACCATAATTTAGCTATATTGAGAAGTGAATAGTGGGTATAGTAGTATTTTGATTTCTATTCTCCTGAGACTATATAATATATATTCACCCCCTTTTGAAAAATAAACCATGGGATCAGACAGTAATACTGCTTTCTAAGCTGCCTTTGCTTGTCATATCGTGGACATCGTTCATGTTATTACATATACCCTACATCATTTTCTTTAGTAGCCTCTAACACTCCATTGTGTAGCCATACATTTTAGGTAGTCTAAAGATGTCCCACAGAAATATATAAAACTCCTTATACAGCTTCCTGGCAGTTGGTTCAGGCGGTATCTCTCCATCTCTTAGACTGGGAAAAAAGTCAGTACAGTGGAAATCTGTCAGAGAAGGAAAACTCAAACATTTCCCACTAAAACAAAGTGAAAAGTGGTTACAGAACCCTCTCGTGGGGGGCCCAGAAAGGCAAGGTAGGCCCCTCGAGTTTTGGCTCTGCCAGCTTTCACTGTGTGGGTGGGCTCACAGCCCCACAGTCACACTGCTGAATTTCCTAAAGATTTAACATTTGGTTTTCATTGAGTTTGCCCCCAGTTGCCTTTGGCCTGAATGAGCAGGCTGTACATCGCCTTTATCCCACTAAGGGCCTCATGATTTCGTCTCTACAGAGATGTTGGTGTCTGACTTCTAGGTACCTTCCAGACCCTATAGCAGATGTGTTAGGGCTTGTCTTAAGATCTGGCTTGAAGGAGATGGGCCTGTGGACTTGTGTTTGCTCCCTGGGTGAGCTTGAATTTTATTAAGGTAAAATGGGTAAAGAAGATTTGATTAGTAAGAGCTTTGCTTTTTTTTTTTT